CCTCTATGTGGCCTCACTCTTGGGCCAGCCCTGGTTGTGTCTTGCCCTTGGTCTGGCCAGCCTGGCCTCCTTCAAGATGGACCCCCTGATCTCTTGGCAGGTACATAGGATAGAGGGGATAGGGATGAGGACTCAGGGGCCTTGCTGGAGCATTTCCTCAATTTTTTCCACCTGTTCTCAAGTCTTTGAGTGAGGTGGCCACTTGTATTTTGTCCCTTGCTCTGTTTTGTTACCGAGCTAAAATCAGTGTTGCCTAGCAGGGTCGGGCCCAGCTCCCATGGGAAGCCAGAAAGGGGCTCTCCCCAGAAGCATGGGCCCGTTAGTGAGCCAGAGGCGTGCTGTCTGTCTCCTTCCAGAGTGGGTTTGTAACAGGCACCTTTGATCTTCAAGACGTGCTCTTTCACGGGGGCAGTGGCTTCACGGTGCTCCGCTGCACCAGCTTTGCACTGGAAAGCTGTGCCCACCCTGACCGCCGCTACTCCCTAGCTGACCTGCTGAAGTACAATTTCTACCTGCCCTTCTTCTTCTTCGGGCCCATCATGACCTTTGACCGTTTCCATGTTCAGGTGAGGGGAACCCCATGGAATCACAGAGCACCCATGGTTAGGTCTCCTCCTGACAAGGGTTCCTGTCTCAGACATAACTCCCCAAGCATGAGTACCTCATCCTTGGGCCATTTGTGACTCCCCTCTCAAACAGGGCTCTACCCTTCCAGGTGAGCCAGGAGCCTGTGAGGCCGGAAGGGGAGCTATGGCGAATCCAGGCCCAGGCAGGATTCAGCGCGGCGGCCATCGTGGCTGTGGACATCTTCTTCCACTTCTTCTACATCCTCACCATACCCAGCGACCTCAAGTTTGCCAGCCGCCTTCCAGACAGTGCTCTCGGTGGGTCCCCCCAATGGGACGGAGGCAGGGCCACCACCAGGAAAGCCCCCATCCGTGTGGCACCCAAGGCTTTGAGATGGGCACAGCTCATTTTTCTCATCACATAAAGCCCTTCGTCTCCCCAACTGCAGATGCCACCTGAGGGGTGTGGCTGATTTTCACGGGTCAGTGGGGCCTGGCACACACCTCTAGAGAGGTGCAAGGTCTCCATGGGGATCGGGGCGGGACAGAAGCAAGACTCTTTGTTCACGGGGGAGGGGGGTGAGATTCAGGATATGGAGTGGTCAGTGCACTAACCTCCAGAGAGTCATATCACCTGTCCCCAGCTGGCCTGGCCTACTCCAACCTGGTGTACGACTGGGTGAAGGCAGCTGTCCTCTTTGGTGTGGTCAACACGGTGGCACGCCTGGACCACCTGGACCCTCCACAGCCGCCTAAGTGTATAACTGCGCTCTATGTCTTCGGAGAAACGTGAGTGAGGAGGGCAGGTCGCCACTGGCTCCCGGCTGTCCTTAGCTTTGTGCCCATGCCCAAAGGCTCTGCCTCTGGCAGGTTCACGTCCGTATGTTCTCCCCACAGGCACTTTGACCGCGGCATCAATGACTGGCTTTGCAAGTGAGTTGGAGAATGGTACCAGCCTTCCTGCGAGGTGGCCAAATGCACTGGGGCCACGGATTGTTTTAGAGATTGGGCCAGAGGAAGCAGGAAACTGTAGCGTCTGCCTGGGAGACAGACATAGAGCTTGGGACTTTGTGGGAGCCCCAGAGACATAGCTGGCAGCTTGGTTGGAGGTCATGTTTAGCACAGGTATCCAGCGAGTGTGGTGGTACCCAAATTCCTGCCTGCCACCTGGGAAGACTGACGGGACATTTTCACACAAAGATGTCTACTTGATATCTTTGTGGAAACTTGGAGAGATATCTAGACCTGAGAATTTGGAGTCAAGAGAAGACTGGTGGTCCTCCATCCAGCGAGCATTATGAGATAGGCAAAGGGGTCTCCCGCACCAGGCCTCAGAAAGCCTGATTCCTAAGGAGAGTGGTAGCAAAACTGGGCCCACAGGGACTCTGGCAGGGACTGAAGAAGAGGCAGCAGAGACATGAAAAGGTGGTCAGCAGAAGAGGACACGTGGCTATGTGAGTCCCTGGAAACCAGAGAAGAGTGTGCAGGCATGAAGGTTCCCAAGCGGGCGCTGCCACAGCCAAGGAGGGCTAGAGCTGGCAGCATGAAGCCCACTTTCCCTGGAAAGGCGGGCAGGTGGAGGAGCTGCGGGGAGCGTGTGCGAGAGGTCTTGGGGCAGCCTGGATCTGCATGGGAAACCAAAAGGGCAGCTTCAGGGAGGAGTGGGCGCGACGGGGCCTTGAGCCTGATGCAGGGTGGAGAGAAGGAGGAGGAGCGGGGTAGACAGGAGGGAGAATGGGGAAGAGGATGGCCAGGTTAATCATAGACATGGAAGTAGGCAAGGGTGGGAGACACGGGGTAAGGGCCCCCTTGCAGGAGGCCAGGGTGCAGTATCCGTTTCCGAGTGGGAAGATAAAGCTGACTGGAGAGAACCCAGGAGGGACTGGAGGGAGAGCATTTAGGATCCGTGAGGTGGGAAACCTCATGATGTGGGGTGTGCAAGCATGCGTGTGTGTGTGTGCATGTGTGTGTGACTGGAGTCTCCCAAGTGGGTGAACAGGAAGAAGCAAGAGACTGTAATGATGGTGGCGTCTGTGAACCTACTAGGGAGGGTGGTAGAGATTCGAGGGTTATAAGGCCAATGGGCATGATCAGAGAAAGAGTCCCTGGTCAGAGAAGGAATTCAGAGGGGTGAGGTTTCAAGCTGGAGTGTGGTCCTGAGAATATGTGGGTAAGACAAGGTGAAGAAGCCTTGGAAATGAGGTCAAGTAGTGAAAGGCTGGTATTTATTGAGTTCCCACTGTGTGTGACAGGCACTGTGTGTGTCAGGCGCTGTGTGTGTCAGGCGCTGTGTGTGGAAGGCACTGTGTGTGACAGGCACTGTGTGTGACAGGCGCTGGGTGTGGAAGGCACTGTGTGTGACAGGCGCTGTGTGTGGAAGGCACAGCACACATCAGAGGACTGTAGGGTATGAGGTCACGCAGGAGGCAGACATGTGGCTGCAGTGTCTTCATGGCATAAAGAGCTTACTTTATTACTAGGAGGATGAATCGTGGGCTGATGTGATCTGAGCCACAGTTTAAAATAAGGTTTGTTGTACTATTTTATGTGCATGTGTGTGGGCCTGAACGTGTGTATGTGCACTGCATGCTTGCAAGTGCCTACAGAGGCCAGAAGGGAGCACTGGACAGCCCAGAGCTGAAGTTGGGCAGTTGTGAGCCACGTGATGTGGGCGTAGGGAAATGAGCCCAAGTCCTCTGTGAGAACAGTTCACCCTTGTCTGCTGAGACATCCCTCCTGCCCCCTAAGCACTGGTGACTATGGAGCTCCTGAGCAGTAGAGGAACCGGTGATTCAGGGGTGAGCAGAGGTCAAGACCCCACAGAGCTGATAGAGTCTGCAGTTTGGATGTTGGGGATGGGGGACTCCAGAATCTTGACTATAACCTAGCCTTGAGCAACGGTCAGGTGACAGGCCTTCCACCAAGATGGGCTGGAAGCAGCCTCTGGAGTGACACACCTAGGGACAGATGAACGTCTGGGAAAGGAGACTGAGGCAAAGACACAGGCTTGGGTCATCCACAGACTGTTTAGAAAAGCTAGGGTCTGAAGGAGACAGAACTCAGGACTAGACAATTCAAGCTGCAGCTCTGAAAGTCCGAGTCCGCCCTTCCACAGTTTGGAGCTGGGCAGAAGTGCAGGCATGTGACTCTCAGAGTTTGGCACACCACACACCATCCCTCTGTGCAGAACGAACGTGTCTGTCCCCACATTCCTGCGGTCCCCTCCTCCTGTCTTTTCTGCAGGTACGTGTATGACCACATTGGCGGCGACCATTCGGCCGTGATCCCGGAGCTGGCTGCCTCCGTGGCCACGTTCGTCGTCACCACTCTGTGGCTTGGGCCTTGTGACATTGTCTACCTGTGGTCTGTCCTTAACTGCTTCGGCCTCAATTTTGAGCTCTGGGTGCAGAAGCTGGCAGAGTGCGGGCCGCTGGCACAAATCGAGGTAGGTGGGAAGATCCAGGGCTGGGATTGGCTGGAATCAGTTAGGTCACAGGAGGTGGTGGCACTGCTGCTTTCTGGGGTCACCAGGCACACTTGGTCCCTGGCCCAGGAGGGTCTCCCTACACCTCTCCTGTCTGCCAGGGTAGAGCTTCACCCGGTGCAAACCCGGGTCTCCCTAGCTTCTGAGGGGCAAGGCCTGGCTGATTATTCAGCTGCTCTTCTTCCTCTGGGCTGGAGTGACGCGGACTGACCGTGTCCCTTTCTCCTGGCCCTCTTGTCGACACATTCTTGGACGGCAGGCCCGGCTATCGGAGCAGATGTCTCGGAGGGTCCGGGCCCTCTGCGGGGCTGTAAACTTCTGGGCTATCATCATGTACAACCTTGTGAGTCTCAACAGCCTTGAGTTCACAGAGCTGGTTGCCCGACGCCTGCTACTCACAGGTAAGGGGCTGGGGTGGGGGTGGGGGTGCGGATATAAGATGTGCCAACCTCACATGAGGACAGGGACCTCCGAGCTACCCAAGCACACGCGGCAGCCTAGCATGGCTCCTCCTCCAACAGGCTTCCCCCAGACCACGCTGGCCATCTTATTTGTCACCTACTGTGGTGTCCAGCTGGTGAAGGAGCGTGAGCGGACCCTGGCGCTGGAGGAAGAGGAGCAGAGGAAGGACAAAGAGAAGCTGGAGTAGGTGCTGGGGACAGACGCTGGGTTCCGCTCAGCTGCTTCTGGGCCCCAGGCCCAGACCATGAGGCCTGACTGATAGAATAAAAGACTTTTCTACCATAGTGTTCTACTGGCTTCTTGTCCACTCTGGGCAGGGAGTTGATGGTTCCAGGCTTTGGGGGAATGTCCTGTGAGAGCAGGGACAGCCACATCGACAGCCCAGCATTGGTATAGTCCAGCCCTGTGGACACTGACTCTGTGGTAGCTGAGTGCACTCGTGGCTTACATGCTCAGCAGACGGTTCATTGATTGTCCCCGAGCTTCCTAGTGGAGGTCTGTGTTAGCACCAGGAGGTGCCACTGACCGAGATGCTCCCACCTGACGGGCACGGAGATGAAACGGGCACACACAGCCAACCCGGACAGACCCAGAACACAGCCTGGGATGCCTGCCTGGCTTTGCAGTCCTTGAGGAGACAAACAGGGAGAATCCCTTTCTTGACCGGAGTAGCCTGTCTGGCTCATACCGCCCTCTCCCAGGTCCTTTCTGGATCCCGCAAGGCGTTTGTTGTGAGGCCAAAGGACAGGAAGGAGGCTCAGTTAGGGCCCTGCCCTGGTCACATCTTGGTCAGGCGAAGCACATTGAGGCGTACAGGGAGGAAGGTGGCACCGGCTGCGTAGGCGATCTCTCGCAGGACCCCCTCCCACTTCTTCTCATCCTCGTTGAACCTGAGGGGAAGGGAAAGCAGGTACCAGGATGGGAGTTTTATCAAACGGAGGATGGGCAGGGACCCTGCAAGGCTGGGTGGCTGGTGCCCCAGGCCCACCCCCAAGGATGTCTGTTTCTAAAGAATTGTCCTGCGCTAAAGTGGGATCCCACAATGGACACTCTAAGAAGACGCCCTGCAGTGTAGAGCAGCCCCCTCCCGGGAAAAGCCCCCTCCAGGGCCCCCACACTCCTCAAAGTTCACTACCCTTGGGGAAGACTTCCAGTCCCCAAAGTCAAGTCTCTTCTCCTGAGACTTCTGTACACTGAAGAAGTTCCTGAGATGACTGCCCTTCTTCCCCCACCAGGAGAGGGTGTGAGGGGAAATACAGCTCTCAGAACCTAGGTCTAGCCACCCCACCACCACCACTCCTAGCCTCACTGCCCCTCTAGACAGGGGACCCAGGAAATGGGGAGAGCAGACTCAGGGCTGTGCCTGCCGCTTGGGTGTGACTCCTGTCTGTGACCCACTGGGGCTCCACAGGGGGGCCGGCCATGGCTTGCGAGAAGCCAGGGTAGAGCAGCTATGTTTGCTGTCCTTGCATTGGGACACTCAGCATCCCTTCCCCCCCACCCCCAGCATCTCAAGGTCGGACTCACCTCCATATGTCATTGAGCTCCGTGGGGACCAGCTCTCCAGACTCGGTCTCCAGAGTGGCAAAGCCACCCAGGGCATAGAGAGTGCCAGCTAAGCTGACCAGGCTGAGGGAGCTACGCTCCTGAGGGAAGGCCTCGAAGGAGGACCACCTAGGGACAGGAGAGCCGTGAGCAATCCAGGCTTCTGCGAGCCCAGCCCCCCTTCCCACCATCACAGCACCCGTCGCCCCTGGGACTCCGGATTCTAGATTGCCTTCTCTGGGTGATGTCCTGTTCACTGAGCTCCAATTGCCCACAATGCTCAGTCGCCTCAGCTGTGCTCCCAACACTCTGACCCCTACGTCCCTCTTCCTCCCTTCCCCACCACTTTGCCATCAACCCAGTGAATGGACAGCCCCTGCTCTATACGTCCCTCGACCTGGTAACTCAGTCCCCAATGTTGTGGGCTCAGGCTGTGGCTGCCACTGATGGCCCTGTTCCTTTGAATGCCCTCCATCCTGGTGCTCCTCCTGGTGTCTGCTCCCTGCCTTTTTGTTACGGGAGGCTTCTTGCCCAGATACCCTAATTCTACATCTCCTGAATGGACTTCCAATTTGCTGCCTAACTCCCAGGGTTCCCCCCAACAACTGGTCCTTTAGACTTCCTCAAAAAAATCCATTTCACCCTCCTTCCCACCCAACACCCTACCCACCACTCTAACCTCAAAGGATGCCGGTTGGAAATGCAGCTCCTCTTCCCCATCCGCTTCCTTAGAAACCATGCTCCACTTTCTCTCCTTGGCCCTTTCCTAATACATCTAGGAATCTGTCACCCCTTGTCTCAGCCGCAACCAGACCCTTCTGTCTCTGAGAAATCCCCTAATCTGCTGTCCTGTGAGAGCCAGTGAGACAGGGAGCTTAAACTCACAGGAGACATTTCACTGGACTTAACCCCTCACCTCTCCCACTCCAGAACCTTCCCACATCCCTTTGCCCACCAACCTCCATTCTCCTGAGCATGGCCTTTCTTCTAGGGGCCCCATCTTTTGGTGTTGGGTACCCACAAACCACTATCTTTGCTGGATGGGGCCAGACAGCTTCTCTTTCCTGATCTCCTGACTCAATGCTGTAATCTCAGAGCCAGGCCATTTCCTGGTTGCAGTTCCCAAACGAGGAACCTGTCACCCCCAGACCCTGCAGACTCTTCTGCAGCGAAGCCTCAGAGGAGAGGGACCTACTTCAATACCAATGTCCAAGTCAACATGAAGATCTGACCTGGGTCTATGACCCTCAGTAGGGCAGACAGGGCTGATGCAGAGAAGAGAGGGGTGGGGAACAGGACCTACTTGTTATCTGCAATGCTGTACACCTCCGCGGAGCTGGTAAGCCCTGTGTCTGTCACCCCTGCAGCCACAAAGATGCGGCCATCATGAACGGTGGCCCCGAAGAGCGAACGGGCTGTCTGCATGGGTGCCAGCTCCTTCCACTCAAACTTCTTGGGGTCGTAGACACACATCGTGTTTAGACATTTCCTGTGGGTGGACAGAGTGAGTGGAGAGGAGGCTGGGACAATTGCCTGGCCCCCCAGCCACACAGAGGCTCCTCCCACCAGCCTGAACCTCACCTGTCCTTGCCTTTGCCGCCAATGACGTAGACGAGGTCCATGTGGGAAAGCACTGTGTGGCCGTACACTGCATAGGGCAGTGGGTCCGATTCACCCCATTTGAATGACCTGGAGGGGACGGGAGGGACAGGAGCATGGCTCAAGCGGACATCAAGTCTGGTTCTCGGCGTCCACACCCACAACACAGCACACAACAAAGTGCACTCAGATCCTTCCCGGGCCCCCTCTCCTGACGTCTTGGGCCTTTGTACCAGCCGACCTGTCCCTTTGCTTCAGGGTTTACTTTTCATGTCTCCACCCAATGCTTGCACATCTGTGCAGGCCTCCTGGTTGTCCCAAGTGGTCCTAGCCCCTCCCTCCCCAGGGCCCTGTCCCAGACCACCCTGTCCCCAAGGCAGCCCCGCCCCGCCCACTTACAGCCGGTCGTAGCACAGGACCGAGTCCAGGCTGTCCTCGCTGTCCTTGAGCTCCCGGCCGCCGACCACATAGATGGCGTTGAGGGCCTCTCCCAGGCCGAAGAGGCAGCGTGGTGAGGGGAGTGGTGGCATCCCCAGCCACTCAGAGTCCAAGTGGTCAAACTGTGGGCAGGCAGTGTCCTTGGGTCAGCCACCAACAACTTCCTATATAACCTCCTGGCCTGGCCCAGCCAAATCCCACAGAGAGGAGTTCTTCCCTCTAAGAGAACTTGACTCAAAGAACTTGACTCTTGGGTGACCCTCTATGCAAGCTTCCATCCCACCTTCTGCACCCGCCTAACCCACGGTTACAGGCACGAGGGCCGCGGATTATATGGATGGACACTTGATATTATTTAACCTCTGTTCAGCGTTTTCAAGCATGGAAGAGTGTCCCACACCCAGAGGCCCAGAGAGAAGAAACTTCGCACCATAGTCAGCCTGGGGGAGCTGCCCCCCACCTACGCCAGCTGTGAGGTCTGTGGACTTAACCTTGGCACCCAGCTGCCCGGCGACTCCTCACTTCCTGTACCAGCTGGTCTGGTTCTGCTGTCACATGCTCACCAACCAGCCCGGGTCGCCATCAGTGTTAACCCCTCCCTCTTCCCATCTCCAGATTTCACCCAACTGACAAGGCTCAAGACCATAGGATTTGTCTCCTAGACTGTCGATTCTCCAAGGTACCACAGTCATTCGACCAACCTGGACCAGGGTTTCCCCTCACCCAGTTCCTCCTGAGCCTCATTCCCTCCCATCCCCAAGCCCCAATCGTGAAAGGAGAAGGCAAGGTGCTCCCGGTGTGATAATCTGTTTTTCCCACCTGTCCTGGCACTTCTGCCAAGGCTCAGCTCACTGTTCTCTGTCCCTGACACCCAACCCCCCCCTCATGGTCAGGGCCTCCAGTTCCCCATTGCTGGGGCCTAACGACCCCCAAACACAGCCACCAGACTTACATAGAGCTCTATGGAAACTGCTTTTAACTCTTCTCCCTTGAAGCAAGTGGCTGCTAGCCAAAGGTCCTAGACCCAACGACAGCACTCAAGTAGACACAGGCCCCTCCCATGCCCCAAGGCTGCCTCCTAGTACCCAGAACCCAGAGCCAGTCCCTAGTTCCCAAGGCTGGCCAATCACCTGGAGAAAGTAAGCACTCATAGGGTCCTCCTTGTTGTCCTCATTGTAGAAGAGGCCACCGGCCACAAAGATCTGGTTCTCCTTGGTCACCAGGCTGACGTGGTTCTTGGGGATCTGGGTGGACAGGGAGGCACAGTAGCACTCGTTGGCAGCTGGGTCGTAGGCCACGGCGCCCTCCTCACTGATCATGAAGATAAGGTCTTGCAGGAACATTCCGAAGCGCAGGGTATCGTTGAGGATCCCAGGCAGCACTCGCTCCTCATCGTCCCCAGCCTTGGCGTCTGCTGCGCCCTGGCTGGCCTCCTTGGTCTTGGCTGTTTCCTGGCCCTTCTCCTTCTTCTTCTTGCGCAGTGTAGTGAGGCGTCCCTCGTGCGCGTCCTTCACCATCTGAACCTTGCGCAGCAGCTCGGGCTGGGCTCGCACGAGTGGGTGGCGCTCCACGCGGCTCTCCAGGAAGGCGCGAGGCAGCAGGCGGCAGCGAATGCTCTCGAAGACCGTAGGCAGCGCGCGCTGGCGCTCCGCCTGTGCCTCGGCATCGCCGCTGCCGGCCCAGCGCATCACCGCCTCGAACACCGCTTCCTCCTTCTCCACATTGAGGCCGTCGCTGGAGATGATGGCGATCAGCTCGTCTGCCGAGAGCCCCAGGAAGTCGTTGTCGCGCGCCACCAGCGGGAAGCGCGAGCAGATGAAGTCGCGCGCCGCCACCGCCAGGCGCGCGCAGTCCAGTAGGAGGCCAAGGCGGAAGACAGCCAGGCAATTGGCCAAGCACAGGCGCTTCTGCAGGAACGACACGCAGATGGTGAAGATGGATGGGATCTGGAATCGGTGAGCCGCTGCGAACAGGTCCTGCACGTTTGCCTCGTCCAGCGCAATCTCCGACGTGTAGAGGTAGTGCAGCACCTGGGACACCACGTCGGGCGACACCTCCTCCAGGCGCAGCTCTCCCGCGCCGTCGGGCTCGGCCAAGAAGCGCGCGCGGAAGTAGGGGCTGCAGGCCGCCAGTACTAGGCGGTGGCACGGGAACTCGCGCTCGCCCACGCGCACCACGCAGTCCAGGAACTTGCCATGGTCCAGCATGTCCTTGAGGCCGTCCTGAAGGAGCGTCTGCTGGTACAGCCGCTGCTCCTCTGCTTGCTCCAAACCCAGCGTCATGGTGCGCTGCTCCCTGGAACGCAGCAAGCCTGTGTGGTCAAGGGCTGCTCAGCACACTTCTGCTGTCCTGTGGGGTCGCGCTCTGACTGCGCAGCTGTCTGCGCTGGGCTATATATAGAGGATGCCTGGACCCTGTAAGAGGAGCCGCTTGGCCTCCTGCACATGACGTGCAGGGGACAGCTGGGCAGAGGCCCTCTCCCTGAGCACCCTTGACTCAGCGCTAGGACTCATGGGGCGAGGGTGGGGTACGACTGGGCCTTTTCAGAACTGGAAGGTCTCTCGGCCCTAGAGATATATGGCTGCCCATAGAGGGAACCGGTCTCTCTTCAGGACTCTTCCTTCCTCCCTGCCTTCCAGGCTTGTGTGCTCACAGCCTTCCTCACAGAGCATATCTCTCGTGACCATTTCTGGTTAACCGATCGTTTGTGTTTCCTGCTTGGTGAACGTGTCCCTGACAATTACTGCTTAGAGACCTTGGCGCCTGCTTTCAAAATGGGAAGGGGTTTCCTGTCTGCTCCCAGCGCAGAGACCTTCCCTTTCTGTAGAGAAACCCCTTAAGCCAACCGGAGTAGGTGTTTCTCTATTGAGCCTCGGTTTCCTCCCCTCCCGCTCAATTTGAAGAGGTGCTAGAATCCAAGGGCCTCTGCTCAGCTTTGTTGAGGGCAAGAGACCTTGGGGCAGGATGCTCCAGGGAGGACTCGAGGTGTCAGGTCTGTTAGAAAATTAGATTCCTAGGATTCTACTATTCTGGGTGTTCAGACCTTCAAATTCTTAATATTCCAGGTAATGCCATTTGGAATCATAGAGTACGTTAGCGGCATTCCCCAGGATCTGTTCAGTGCTCAGGGACAGTGCTTGTCTGTGCCCATTGTCCTTGGTTCACCTTAGGCTCCCAGTGTTCCTGCCTGACCTTGGGCCCCTGCAGCCTCGCTGTGATTTCAGGGGTTGGGTTGAGACTGAGCATAGGACATCTAGAAGCCCACCTTGCTGTGGACTCCTGCCCACCCCCTAACCGGCACGTGGGCTTCTGCCTCCAAGATTAACGCATTCCCCAAGCTCCCGAGGCTGCAGCTGTGGGTTAAATTTAGCCCTGGGACACTGGTAGGAGGTGTAACAGAGCACTCCCCCCACCATGCCTCTGAGTCACTTGTTTTTAACCTTGAGCTTGTGGGGGGAGATAGAAAAAACCTGGGGGGGGCTGAGTCACCTCCCCTTTTGTGATTCCGGAAACAGTCCTGCCTGTCCCTCAGGAATAGTGCACTGACAGTCACCCAGTTCTATGGGGCACATCCCTGGACAGGGTCCAGAGGTGGGTTGCCCACCTTCCTGCTGCTTATAGGGCAACCTTAGGGTGGGCTAGGAGGGCTTCCATCCCAGCTCTGGACAGTGGGGCATTTCTAGACAACATCACCCATAATTTGCTGGGTCTCACAGCTGAGCCAGAGCGGACACGCCCACTCTGACATCTTGGAGACTGCTCCCCGAGTGAATAAAAATGCCCGTGATCACAGCCTCACTTTCCAAAGACCTGAATAGAAAACACTGACTGAAAATGAATTTATAGCCACCAGATGACTTAATGTCATATTTTAGGTTTATGACAGATTCTACGGTGCTCACTCCCTACCAGGCTTCCCGGGAGAACATTTAATGTGACTCATTCATCCATACAAAGCCTACTGTGTACTAACATGGGTTAGCGGCGGTTGAGTCCATTGTGAACACCACCCCTCTGGAGCCTATATCTGTGCCTCATCCCGAGTGCTGCAGACGGGTGACAAGGGACTTGGAGGTGCTGGGCACGGCAGAACTAGGTGGAGCTGTTCCACCTGCCTCCAGCTGGAGATGACGACCCAAGACTGCTGGTTCCTGACCCGACCTAGCAACAAGACAGGGCGGGAGGCCCATTCCTGTCACAAACTGACTGACCCACGTGCCTCCGCAAGTCCACGCAGGGGCTGCCACTGGCTGATGAAGCAGGAGCCACACCAAGGCGGTGTCCTGGGCCTGAGACTCATTTTCCTGCTCAGAGACACAAGAGTAGCCGAGGGAATCCCCTCTGTCTTCAGGCAGTGTTTGCAGGAGTAAGCTTTAAAGACCCACAGGCCTCTGAGGATTACACGGTGCCTTGAACCTGAGTTCACAAAAGCAGACAGGGGTCAGGCTGGGGGAGGGACCAGGAGGGGCCAGGCTGGGGGAGGGGTTCAAGTAGAGTACTTGGTTTTGAACTGGGAAAAAATAATTCAAGAAAGACAAGGAGCACTAAACTTAAACAATCTGACTGCTTATGGCAATAAAGGAGGAGAGAGAGAGAGAGAGAGAGAGAGAGAGAGAGAGAGAGAGAGAGAGAGAGAGAGGGGGGGGGGG